CAGCGGGTAAGAGCACTTGCCACTAAGCCTGACCTGAGTTCGGTACCCGGGATCCACGTGGTGGAAAGAGAGGACCAACTCCTGAGGTTGGTTGTTCTTTGGCTGACACACACAATGTGCTAATGTGCACACACACACACACACACACACACACACACACACACACACACACACACACCAGATAAGAAACCAGTGGAGGTAGAGAAACTGGATCCTCACACATGGCTGGTGAGAAGGTGCCACAGCTGAGCCCAAGAGTTCAGCAGTTCCTCAAAATGCTAAATATCAAACCGCCACATGACCCACCCTACCTCTCAGGGCCATACCCAAGACGACTGCAAACAGACATCCACACAAAGGCTAGTTCATGACTCTTCACAGAAGCATTGTTCATAGCAATCAAAAAGTAAAAAACAGTGCAAAAGCCATTCAACAGGTGACTGGGGTGTGTCCATACAATGGGTCACTAATGAGCTGCTCAAAAGATGGATGTCTGCTATAATCCAGATGAGCTTGAAGGCATATGCCAAGTGAATAAATCCAGATACCCAAAGTCACACATTACATAATTCCCCAAACTGAAAATTCACAAGTCAAGTAAGTCCTTAGAGACACACAGTAGACTGGCTCTTTCCAGAGGTCGGGGAAAGGGCAGCAGCAGGCAGTTGCTCATGGGTATGGGGTGGGTCTTTGGGGGACAATGAGAATGCTCTGAAATTAGACAGTGGTGTTGGTTGCACAACTATGTGGCTGTACTAAGGACCACTGAACCACAAACTAGCATGTGGACAGGTCACTTTACAGTGCATGCACTAACCTCAGCTGAAGCACTGTAAGCCAGTGAACTGGCCTGGGCAGCCTCACTTTGGAGCTGGGGTTCTGGGTGTCTTGCTAACACAACAAAGGGACTCTAAGCAGATCCTAAGCGAATCTTGCTCCTCAGGACATCGTGGCCTGGCCTGAATTGGAGAGCAATAGCAGAGTTCTTGCTCCATCTCTGAGGCAGGGAGACAGGAGCCTCGTGTCCCAGAAAAATGGGATTGTTGTTAAAAAGTGCTAATGTCCTTGCACAGGTGAGTGTAAGCTATATGGTAGGCAGACTTGCAAAATGCTCCTAAGCTAGTGCCTGCCCTGTACCTGGGAGACAGATCTACGGGCATAAACATGGTCTTTTTGTCACCTCACATAAATGATATAATTCAACAGGCCTTCCTGGGTTCAGCCCTCCCTCCTGGTCTCAGACACAGGAGTAATCCTCAAGAGCACCATCCTCAGACAAAGACTTTTTCTCATGTCCAGCAGGCTCCAGGAGTCCGTGGGCCTCCTGCTCTGGCTTCTGCCTATGCCTGCGTTTCCTCATTTGCCTTCAATGTCACATATGGAAAACACCACCTTGCATTTGCACAAAAGGCCTTAGCAAGCTGTGGGAACCTCACAGAAACTTTAAAAGGAGGGTGGAGGAAGGGAGACGGTAGCACACCCTCCCAGAGCACAATCCACGCCCTGACCCCTCTGCTAGGCATTTCCACCCTCAAAGGCCCTTCTCTGTAGTCCTTCTCTTTCCACCAAAACCAGGGGTGACAAGGTCCTCACCCCACTCTCCATTAGTCCTGAAAACTGGCCTGTTTTATCACCTCTGGCAGGCTTGGGGCCTGCTCTCCCACCAGTGCCTAGCCCACGATTTTTTTCAAATGACTGGAATGTCTTCTCTGATGGCAGTTTTAGTTGTAAATGTCCCATGCTTTTTCTCCCTTCTTTCTGCACTACCAAGCCCAGGACTATCGGGTGTTCGATCCCGGGGATGAATCCTTACTCCGCCATCAGGTCTGGGTGCACCATAGAAGGCTACTTGCAGAGGGAATCCCTTACACATATGTCTGGATCAAAGCAACCCACATTCTCCTGGCAAGAGAGGAGGCCAGATCACTCCACAGTGGTTCAGGGGGGAATGCCACTCACATGGATGGTAGCTAACTTGACCTAGATGAACTTGGGTTCTGTCTAGGCCTGGTCAGCTCGCTGGGCCATCGTTCAAATTCTTCCTGTGTAGCTGAAGCAAAAAGAAGCTATCTAGCTGACCCACGGACCCTGCGTCGGCTGACCTACCCTTGAAAGCATTAGCTTCTCTGTAGCACACAGTACGGGGCAGCTGTGCCGTCTCAGCTCACGAGCCTCATAGCCTCTGGAACGGCCTCCATCCACCTGGCCAATATCCCACCCAGGGCACACAGGCTCTCTGGGCCTAGCTGTCACCAAGGAGGAATTGAGGAGAAATGGGGCAAGATGACACGGGCTCCACTTCGAAGAGCTCAAATTCCCTTTCAAGGAAGGCAGACTAGGACTCCAATCAGACCAGCGAGATCTCCCCAAGACTGCACTCTGGGCCCCCCATGTAACTCCAGGCTCCCCTAAACCAAGGCTCTTTGAGTGACTGAGAAGAGACAAAAGCCTTCTTGTGTGTTGGTAGATGACAGGACTGACCTTTCTCAAGGAAATGAAGGTCAGGGTGTGAGGTGAATGTGTGCTCCTATGTGACGTGGGTGGTGCTGCATTGTGACCTTGTCTTTCAGCATTTACCTCCCTCCCCCCGATTGTGTCTAGTCAAATCTCCTATCCAGAAGGCCCTCCTGACAAGACCGCACTCTCTCCAGAGGGCCATGCACACCTAAGCCACACAGCCCTGCGGCTGTCTTTTCAGTCACAAGAGGGGACCTGGATGGAGCTCCAGTTTCAGGGTCACTAAGTTCCTGACCCACAGCTGCATGACCCAGAGTCCACACATCCTGGGGAAGGGGGTGTCCAGAAGGACAGCTCACATGCCAAATCTATTCCTTCTGAAAGTGAAGAAAACGACCGCCCTGTACCCCGGCTCGACTTTGCAGCCCCATCTCTTCCCTCTACCTTGTCACTGCCCTGAGGCTGTTGCCTTGATCTCCTCTGGCAGGAGCCTGGACTCTGGCCAGGGCAGATGGTGGGGGTGGGGTAGGAGATGAAGTGGGGGTGGGGGATGAGGTGGGCGAGACGCCATCATCCACAGGGAACAGGGGAAAGTAAGGATGTGAAGTTTGTTTTTCAGGAAGTTAAGTCTCTTAGCATTAAAGGGCTGGCTTCTAACAAGTTTTCAACTTAAAAGTAGCTGCCTTTCCTGCATTTTGGGGGGGCATGAAAGGATGCTTTATTCTATACACTGCAGTTGTAGTAGTCATCCATTTAGTCTGAAAATCTCCGTACCACCTTGCCTTTGCAGGAGCCTAAGGCAGCTGAGGTAGGGGAGAGAGGGAAGAAATAAGGCCAAGCGCTGTCTGCCTAAAGGTCCTGCAAGACCCCATGGTCTCGGTCAGGCTGTTCCTCCTCTGACTTCAGCCTTCCAGATGCTCTCTCTTAGAGTAAGAGAACCCATTCACGTCTGTAACTCAAGCTTACCACAGTCTCTGAGCCCATAGCCAACTCCCAACACAATTGCCCTTGGCCCAAACCCCACTGGGGCAGAAAAGAAATGTAACTGGGCCAGTGGAGTCAGGCTGAGCTGGCAAGATGCTAAAAAGTACCTTCCTTTCCTCTTTAGGGCCCCTCACTGGTAGATCCCCAAGGGATGGCGCTTTGGGGAGGTCCTGGCCACCTGCAGCGCTTCTCCTGAGACACACTGGTGGGTGTGCAGGAAGCTGGCTGCTAACTCCATCACAAAGTCAGTCAGCCGTGAACCTGTGCTGGTTTCTAGGCGTCCCCCCTCCCCCTGCCCCAGCTCCACGAACACCCTAGCTTCCCCTGCTTCTATCCGAGTCCACTGGCATGCCCAGCTTGATGGTGGCTGAAGGAGGTGGGCAGCGTAAGTTAGTGGTCTCTGGGAGTAAATGACCTTAGCCTTGGCTGCTATAGGTCCCTAACCTGTCCAAGCCTCACACTCCTTATCTCCAGGTCTAGGTGTTCACACGAACCCACTCCTGATTGTCTTAAAGATGAAACCAGCCAATAAATGCCTAGCACAGCAGGTCCCACCATGAGTCAGAGCTCAGAACCGTCTGTGGTCAGTCACCCACTTCCCTCCTGCGTGAAGATATGAGGGCCCTGGCTGCTCTGAAAGCTCTTTCTGTCAGTCCAGGGGCATTCTGTCAGATGCTACCTGAACTGTTCAAGTGGACACACCCTTCCTGACTGTGTTCCTGCCCTGCTCCAGCCTGAAGCCGGCACAGAGTTAGACCACAGGGCTGTAGGGTAAGGCTGTAAGGCTGTAAGGGCCTTCCTCAAACACTAGACAGATGGAGTGTTAAAAAGGAACCTTCAACAAGAGTCTGTTTCCTCTGGTGTTAGGGTAACCAGCACATTCAGCAACATCTTCACGCTGGACTGTAGAGGGAATCCATGGGGGCAGAGCCCCAGATGGGTGGGGATGCAGCTGAGTTCAGGGAGGGACGGAGACCCGCTCAAAGAGCAGATCTGCGGCTTCCTCTGGCCTCACCACCTGGAATAAAACTCCTTCTGGGTGAGGAGTGCTTTCCTGACTAAATGCACCCCAGACTCGGCTCCCCAAATAGACCATACATAGCTGGGTGGAGGAAGGGATCGCTCTTGCCACTGTTGCCCTTCACTGGGTCCCTGACTGACACTTAGGTGACCAAGATGCTTTCCAAGGCGTCCTCCACCAGAGAGGTCCAAGTTTCTTTCTGGCTCAAAATGAGGACCCCTTCTCCTACCACCAGAGCCCAGAGAGGCCCCTGGCACCACAGGCCATGAAGGACTGCGCTGTGGGCCAGGCCCAGAGTGACTCAGAGAGCCCCAGCACCGCACAGCCTGTTATAACACAGGCTCCCTGAACTCCAAAGTCAAGGTCCAAATTGGGCCTCAGATGCTGCCCACCTCTACCCTCCCCATAGGGTAACAACACGCCAGTCATGCTGTGCCATCCTGTGACATGAAACTAACTCAACCCATTACAGGGTTCCCCTTTTGATCCACCCGAGGGGGCCCTGGATCTGCCAGCTGGGAGGAGATGGGGTACTCACAGCACGCAGAGCGCGTAGGCCCGGGGGATGGACTCGCTGGCACGCACAAGGAAACTCCCGTCCTTGCCGGCCCTGGAAAGCAGCTCCTCTGCCTTGGAGCGGGTGATGTTGCCATGGTTCCACCCAGGGACCATGGCAGGCATGGGTCTCCTGGGCTGGGTCAGCAGCCACTCCCAGGACGGACACTCCAGCAGAGCACTTAAGGGCCCTACGCTGAGACCTGCCGCCTGTTGCCTCTCAGAAGTTGCCTCTGCTGCTACTACCAGCTTAACTGACTGACTTCCTGTTTCAGGCGCTCAGCGAGGGAGAGGAAACTGAGCTGCAGAGAACTTCCTCATTATAGAAACCAAGTTGGGGGGGGGGCATCATCTACCTTCCCACCCAGCCCAGCCACTGGCTGCCTGCCCCACCCTCTCACTCACTGGTTCTCAATATCTCCTGCAGGGGACTTAACCTCTAGCTTCCATTATCAGCCAGAGTTCTGTGCAGGGGCAGGCATAAGCTCTTTTAGCATCAGGTTTCATGGCTAGCTTCTGAAGTGTGGCCTAGTATTTGTGGATGGGCCGAAGGAATGGGCACTCGGAAACCTGTGCAGATATCCACAAGGGCAGCCTTAATGCTTGTCCTCTTTACACCACCCCAACATACTTGTGATGGTTAGTTTTAAGTGTTAAATTGACACAACCTAGAATCACCTGGGAAGAGAGGGTCTCAGTACGGGAATGTTTACATTGGGTTGGCCTGTGGGTGGAGGGTTGTCTTGATGAAGTTAACTGATAGCAGAAGATCCAGCCTACTGTGGGCGACACTAACCTCTAGGCAGTGAATTGTGAACTGCTAGTAATCGGGGAGAGCAGGAGCTAGCCCAAGCAAGCGAGTGGCATGGAGGCAGTGACTTCCTTCTGCTCTCAGCTGTGGATGTGATAGACAGCTACTTTAAGGTCTCCACAGCGACTCCTCTGCGACTTCTCCACAACGGTGCTCTGTAACCAGAGTCGTAAGCAAAAGCAAACTCTCTCCTCCCTAAGGTTCTTTTTGTCAGAGTATTTCACCCCAGTTATGAATGAATCTAGAACATACCTAAGGAGCAGGGCTTCTCAAATTGAACTAAGCCTTGTGCCCGAAGCAGAGCAAAATGGAGGGAGCATAGATTTCCCTGTCTCTCCTCACTGGAGACTCCCAGACACATGCCATCTCTGTGCTGGGTCAGTCTTAACAGCCACCCCCCTGAGGACTCCAAGTGTCTGGGGACAGCTTTGTGACTGGATTTCACTCAGTCTGTGGTTACCCATTCTCCATGGGCAGCACGCTGTCCCTGCATCTGATGCATTGAACCCCCCCCCCCCCCGACTTCTGCTGGGCACTTGCGGGGGCTGGGGGGAAGCTCATGGAGGGACTTACATGTCCCCATGGGGCAAGTTGGCCACTTGGATGACATTTGTTACCGAGTTCTGCATGGCAGCAGCCCAAAAGGTCAGTCAGCCTACTCCTTCTGTGGTTGGACATGGCCACATTTGCTCACCTCTCAAAGGTCACCATTTGGTACCAGCTGAGTTTTGCAGGCTCTAAGGCAGTCACCGACACCAGGACCCCAGAGCTGGGTGACCTCATTCCTCAGGCCTCATGTTCACAGAACCTCATCCACCCCGTTCTTAGGAAATCTCTGTCCATCACATGACTACATGCATCCTTGAACCCTTCTTTCCTTCTTGGATGCCTCTGCCAACTGCATCATTGTCCTTATCCCTGGAGCCTCCAGAGTCCATCACAAAGATCCAGATCCATCACAATCTTAGTCTCTCTGTGCCTTGGCCAACTCAGCTCCTGCGATCCCTTAGCATCCGAGACTGACTCACTGATAGATGAGTCCCTCTGCACCTCTCAGTCTCCCTCCTGTCGTGGTCAACCTTGACTGTCAACTTCACTGGACTAAGAAGCACTTAGGAAACTGGGAAAGTGCACCTCTGGAAGTGTCTGCCAGGGTATTTCCAGAGATAATCAGGTCACAAGGACTCTGACCAATAATAAATCAATCCCTTAATGAATGCGTGCTTTTGTGTTACTGAGAGAAGGTGAAAGGTGAGGCCTAGCTGGAGGAAGTAGGTCACTGGGGGTGTGCCCTTTAGGGTCCTCTCTTGTCCCAGCCCCTCCCTGTATCTCTTTTCTCTGTTACCATTGTTGTTGTTTTGAGACAGGGTCTCACTATGTAGCCCTTGCAAGCTTGGAACTTGCTATACAGATCAGGCTGGCCTCAAAGTCATAGAGATTCTCCTGTTTCTGTCTCCTGGAATCAAAGTGCTAGGATTAAAGGTGTGTGTTGCCATACCTAGCTACCTTTGAACTCAATAAATTGCCTACTACAAGCCAGGGATGGTGGCACAAGCCTTTAATTCCAGCACTCAGGAGGCAGAGGTAGGTGGATCTCTGATTTCAAGGCTAGCCTAGTCTACAAAACAAGTTCAAGGACAGACAGGGCTACACAGAGAAATTCTGTCTCAAAAAAAAAAAAAAAGATTGCCTACTACATATGTAACACATACATGGCACATTCATGCTTCCCTGATTTTCAAGGCCCATCCCTTCTTCACTTCCTTTCCTACACACATGACAGAGGCACGAGAGCGTCAATTTCCTTGTCCTCTCTATTTTGAGAAAACCCCAACACAGGATCAACATTGCCCTGATGGTGGGTAGAGCCTGGGTAGAGATTATGTTTTCGTAGGCTTTTGTCTACATCAAGAATTCAATTAAATGATGCCACAAAGTCCACAGAACCACCTGGGATGAGGCAAGGAGTCGGTGGAGACTAGGAATAACGGTTAGAGAGGAAAGAAATAACGAATGTTCAAATGTGCACACGAAGAGTCCTCCTGCTTCTCTGTTTTACTGCCCCAAACAGCCAGGAACAGCCCTGGTGTCCTACTGTCTGCTTGACTGTCCTGGCTGATTCCGTGCTTCCACTGAACACTAAGGGCAGCAGCTGCTTCATTCACAGTGCCTCAGCTCTGCAGAACCTGAGACCAGAGAGCTTCCTAATTTCCCCAGCACCATGCCTTTCTGCTGGTTAATGGACACTGCCAGTTTGTTCACACAGGCCACCCTGGAATACGGCTTCCACTGATTCCTGCTGACATTGTACTGTTGTTTTGTTCATGACCTCAATGCCCGACTTACCTAGAACATGCGAGAAAATGATGATAATTCACTTACCTTTTTACAAGACACAGGCTTGGTATGTGTTCCAGGCTGACCTTGAATTCTCAGCTTTCTGCTCCCCACTTCCCACGTGCTGGGATTTTGTTTTCCTGTAATGTTGAATTTACTGTTCTGAATTTCATAACATGAACGGAGGACAACATGTCATCGAGTCATGTTCTCTTGACATCTTAGGTTATAATTGCTCCACTCCTATAGGGTGGTCTTTTTCGAAGATGACTACAGCCCAGCCTTCCACGTGGGAGAGCAGCCCCCTTTGCCAGAAATGTTCGCTGCATGCCTGGCATGACTTCCCATCCACCCAGGGCACACAGCAGTGCAACAAGGATGCGAGGCGGGAGAGGCGCTGACTGGAGGCATCTGTGGGCATTGTGCACCCAAATTCCCAGTGGCTGTTGGAGAAGACAGCTGCCTGACCCCTGGTTGGGCGCCTCCGGAAGGGAGGAGCGGCTGTCTGGATGGTGTTGGCAGGGGCACAGAGGTTAAAGGGCATCAGACACTACTGTGGTTGTTTGTTTTTACTCTTTACTGCTGCAGGCCACAAGAATATGAAGTAGAGATTCAGCTTCATATGATAAAGCTAGAACTTGAAGGGTCAAGGAATCCTTCTAGAGGAGAAGTCAAATATCAAGGAATATTTGATGCTATTCGGCTTTTAATATATCAGCTGTTTCCTGCTATTGATTTCTTGTGTGCTCATACACTCTGAGGCCATAACAGCAAACAGTATAAACTTCTCAGACCTACTGCTGATCTGTATTAAATAACACCCCTACAAAGACACTCCTAGGCCTAGGAAACAGGCGGATGTGTAAATGCATAGCTTTATTTCTTGTGCAAATGAAGCTCAGACCATTCCTTTCTCTCACAGGCCTAGTGGCATCCCAGAGCTATTTAGGGGCCCACCACCCAGCTCCCAAATAAAGACACAAAGGCTTATTATTTTTTATGAATGCCCAGCCTTAGCTTGGCTTGTTTATAGCCAGCTTTTCTTAACTTAAATTAACCCATCCACCTTTTGCCTCTGGGCTTTTACCTTTCTCTATTTCTGTATATTTTTCTTTACTTCTTACCCCATTGGCTGGCTGTGTAGCCAGATGGCTGGCCCCTGATGTCCTCCTCTCCTCCTCTTCTCACTCCTTGATCCCGCCTCCCAGATTTCTCCTATTTATTCTCTTTGCCTAGCAACCCAGCCTATCCTTTCTCCTGCCTTGCTATTGGCCATTCAGCTCTTTATTAGACCATCAGGTGTTTTAGACAGGCACAGTAACACAGCTTCACAGAGTTAAACAAATGCAACATAAAAGAGTGCAACATGCTGGACGGTGGTGGTGGTGCACACCTTTAATCCCAGCACTTAGGAGGCAGAGGCAGGCGGATCTTTGTGAGTTCGAGGCCAGCCTGGGCTACAGAGCGAGATCCAGGAAAGGCACAAAGCTACACAGAGAAACCTTGTCTTGAAAAACAAAAAAAAAAAACAAAAAAAAAAAAGTATGCAACACATCTTTGCACCATTAAACAAATGTTCCACAGCGTAAACAAATGTAACAAATCTTTAACTAATATTCTACAACACACCACCTCTGCTCCACTTGGTACTTAGGGTCACACAGGAATGACTTGTCTCACAGGCTATTTCTGGAAGCCACATATGACTTTATTGGTATGAAGCTCTATGCTCTTTTTGGGCAATTTGTTAATCTCTCATATGGGGCAGAGGTTTGGATAATATCTAAGGGAGAGAAGTAAGATAAAGACTCACATGGTCGCAAGCCCAGCTAGGGTGTCCCTGCCAGCTATGGCCAGTGTCTGGGCACTGGAGGGAGGACTGGACATTTTCTGGGAAGTCAAGCTAGTGACAGCAACAGGGTGGTCTGGCAGGCCTCTGTCTTGGGCACTGGGCCCTCTCTAGAGCTCTTGGAGGAACAGAGAGAGCTGTGTTGGAAGAGCCAGCTCCCAGGGCTGGTGCCAGGCATCACAAATTCTGTCTGAAGGGCAGAGTACAAGAGCAGGCTGCATCTCTTCACTGGAA